AGACGGCTGCAGCGTAGAAGCCAAAGCTGAGGGTTTGAAGGCAGAAGCTAAATGACTCGTTTAAGGAGCTTGGATCTGAATCTGAGCTCCCGAATCCTGGTTCAGAGCCTTAATCATCATATCCAGAGTTGCCTGATATCCAGAGATGTCTATAATTTATACGGCAGTGAACAGTGTCTTTCGTGAAAGTGCTCCCGAATCCTGGTTCAGAGTCTTAATCGTCATATCCAGAGTTACCTAATATCCAGAGTTGTCTATAATTTATACGGCAGAGAAAAATGTCTTTTGTGAAAGTGCTAACGGCTTATTTAAAAAAAAAAAAAAAAAAAAAAAGCTTACGTTTCCTTCACAAAAATGCCAATAGTTGTAATAAGCAAAAGTGACGAAGCTTGTAAACCTCTGTTTTTTTGGGAGGTAGGTGAAGAAGAATTTTTTTCTTAATGTCTGATTGCAATTTTGAAATGCAAAACCTCTTGATTCAGAGATGAGACCTTGTATTAGACCCGCTAAGAAATCGTGCAAAAATTCCTATTTCTTAGCGGGTCTAATAAAAGGTCTCATCTAGAGTTTTGCATTTCTTTTTGTCTCAGACCAACACGGCTGCCAAATACACAATTTTGAAATCTAGATCTAAATCTCATCCAGCTTCTCATGGTTATGTTGGCTCCCTCCCTGTGAGAAATAAGGTGGAAAAGGCTTTCTGACTGATAGGAGATATCAGACTGCTTTGAGTGCAGTACAGCATGCAGGGCAATAGTCTCTCACCTGCTAATGCAGAGTGCACCTGACTCCTGTTCCAGCACTTTGGTGCTACTAGCGCACTCAGTGCTACACTTTTATTGTAAAGACAAGAGATGTGGCAATCTGACTCATGCCTATTAATCTTGGGAAAGAATAAATGTTTCAAATTGCATCACTGACTGACTGAGCATGCGAGGACGTCCTTTGTGTTTAGTCTATTTTCCTGCCATTTGTTAGGGAATGCACAAAAAAGTCCCTAATAACACATAGCTGTGCCAGTAACAAAACAAAGCAAACAAACAAAATCACCCAAAACTTAATATTGATGCAGTTGTACTGAGAGAGTCCTTTTTATAATATTGCTTATTCAGTGCAGGGGAAGCTGTTTCAGCTGCACTGAGAGATGAACTTTCGCTGGTATAAGTTACATCTTCGCTGGGGGATTTGCTGGCATGGTTATACTGGAGAGTTGCACCCTTGAACTCTGAGCTCTGATCATAGTTTCTATGATGGTGGCAAACTGTCAGCTGCTTGTTGTCTGGTTGAGAAATAATCTAAATGGACCTAACCAAAGTGATAGGCTCCTCTCTAAAATAATTCCATTTTGGAAAAAGGAGCATTCGGCTACTCCAGATCTCCCTGAGCCTGCATGGAGCAAGTGGCATGGGTCGAGAGGGGCACTGGTTCCCTTTCTAGTTCTTGTCATAATAGCTTAAAAGCACAGTTTTCAGTCCTGTCATACATAACACAGAGGAATGAATAAGACTTTGTGTATTCCAGTAGGAGGGATTTGAACAAAAATGCTGTTTTAACATCCAGAGTCAGTCATACTGCCATCAAGTGATCTGTTGAACGTTTCTGTACTAATTACTGATTCTTGATCAAAAGGGATGTTGCATGTCGTTATTTAGAAGCAGGAAAGTCCCTTTTCACAGTTATTTCCAGCCTTTCTAGCTCACTTCTCTTCCTGCTCGATGAGAGGTCTGTTACTGATTTCAGTATGGAAAGATTGGAAATGTTAATGAATTGTGAGATGTTAGCTGAAGGCTTGCAATTTTTTTTCTTTGATTCATTTTCTGGTAGTGTCATCAGCTACAGTAACATCTATAAGAGAGAATCATTTCATATAAGTGACAACTCTGAACAATTGTGGTCAGCCTAATGTTGGAGTTTCTGTTTTTCTTAAGTAACAACAACTTTCTGTAAAAGAAGTATTAGACAATTTTACTCTTTTCATTTGTTTTTTAAGTTTGTACATTGGTGTATAGTGTGATCCATCTTGTGTGTGTGTTGGGGGGGGTCTCTGTGAAGTGCAGAGAGAAACATTTATTTTTTTTGATGGTGTCAGTTTTTCTAAGTCTCTCTGTCTGTTTTCATGGTTTTGAAGAGAGCTGGTTGTTCATATTTTCGAGGCTGTCATCAGTGTAGTGGGTGAGTGTTCCTCCAGCGTGTTGGAGCAGATTAGCCCCTACAGGTACACTACTGAGGCTTTTAACCTGAAGCAGTGGTTCTCACCCTCATTAGCTTGGAGACACCCCTCCATCAGTCTTGTAAAAAGAGTGATAGCCAATTTCAAAAACTTAATTTATATATGACAATACTTAACTTCCTTGCTGTGGAGGGAAGGGATCGGTCAGGCAGGGACAGGTCTGAGCTTTCATTTATCTGCTTATCTCCTCACACCTCTTGGCACCCTTCAAAGGATCTTTCAACACCCCAGGGTGCTGCAGTACCCTGGTTGAGAATCACTGATTTAAAGTAATCCCTAGCTCTTAACTTTGTGCCAGAACCACCAGCTTCAAGTTGGTGTTTCTTGAATTCTGTTGTCATTTCTCTAGTCAATTGTATAATGAATAAAGAAACAAATAACAGAGACGATTTGCAGTAGGGTTCAACATGTGTGCTGCATGTGCAGAATTGTAGTGCGTAATTAAGAAAGGTCCTAAACTACTTCCTAGGATGAGGTCTAGAGGTGTCCTCACTGAAAAGTGAAATGTAGACTAGAAACTACCAAGTCTCTAACCATCAGAGCAGAAAACAGCATGGATTTTGATCACTTTATAAAAGAAGTTACATGACATGGTTGCCTGCACGAACAGGAGGCTGGATTTTTTGGCCCAGAAATTTGTTTCCAGTCCTATGTTCTGAACTGGTGGTGAGCAAGAGATTTGATTCCTTCCCTTGTCTTACAAAAGGGTCCAGAGAAGCATGTTTTTTGCCTGTTGTGTCGTGTTAGACCCCAACATGTCAAGCTACATGTATGCAATCCATGAGCCTTTTGGGATTCACTTCTGGTTCCAAGATTGCTGAGGGCATTAAACCTGAAGCATATACTTATTGAACCATTCCCTGGGATCTTCAGTTCAAACAATTTATAATAAAGATTATGTTAATCTTTCAAGAGGAGGTTAGATGAGTATCTAGCTGGGGTCATCTAGACCCAGCCCTCTTTCCTGCTTATGCAGGGGGTCGGACTCGATGATCTATTGAGGTCCCTTCCGACCCTAACATCTATGAATCTATGAATTAATCTATTAAAGCTGCTGCTGAAATGCAGCACTCTTGAGTCTGTTCTCCTGAATTATAGTTTTCCCTCTGCCTTATAAGTTTAAATAATTGGTTGGGTTTACAACTGTTACTAGCTGACTCCAAAAATCTGCTAGGCTGATGACAAAAATGCAAGTGCATTGTTTAACCTGAAGGCTGTACAGTTTAAAGTTGGATGTGATTCCTTAAGGAGGTATAAAGAATAGATGACAATGTTAAGAAAAGAATAATTTTATCAAGGGTTAACATTTCACAGCTATTCTTTTTAGATGGATAATATGCTCAACTTTATTTCCCTTATAATTAGAATGGCAGAAAAGTTCTTAAGGAGTTAAATGAGGGGAGTTTGGGTTGGCCAGATAATTTTTGGGGGTGCTTTATTAACATGAATGAAAGGTTCTCTACTTTTCCATGCTGTCCCTGCTTGGGAGCAAGTTTGCAGCTCTTCATGCCCATCTAAGAGAGAGCTGATGGCTAAGGGAGTCTCTGTGTTGTAAGTCACATAACACTTCTGTTGTCCCCTGGTAAAAATAGATGATAGTCTTGGCTTCCTACTAGTGCAGGGACAGAATAGCTTTTGTATGAAAGAGGAAATAGGACTAAATCCTGGAGGGGAAGACCGAATGACAAAGGAAGTTCCATATTTAAATAGTTTTCACTTCTCTTTTGCCTGGTCTGCACTTAAAGGTTTTACTGGTGTAAGTATTGCAGAAGAAAATAGCTGCCTTCACTAAAACATCCCTATCAGTCAGAGCTTGGGTGTGGATGTAGTTTTATCAGTGTAGCCAGTATAGGGGTCCCTCTTGCTCTCTGGGAATGCTGTTTCATAGTGGTACAGAGCAGTCTTTTATACTCAGAAAGCTGCATCTGTGTTAGGAGATTATAGCTATTAGTCTAGCTCTTTAATGTGGCTTGTTCCAGTTGGGGCTAGAAACTTTGTGTACCCTGTTGTGCTGTATCAGTTGGGTGCAGCAGACTGAAGTGGGATGCATATAATTAGCTATAAGCTAATTAGTATCTTTGGATGTCTTAACTCTTTGGATGGTACAGATTTCATAGACATTCGGGCTGGAAGGGACCCCGGGGGATCATCGAGTCCAGCCTCCTGTCCAGGGGCAGGA